TATATATATATTTCTCTAACATTTTTAACATAAAATATACATTATAACATATTATAATGTTTTATATTATTGCGATTTATTTTTTTATATTTTCCTGAAAATAAATTTAACAATAAGTTGGATATTATTATTATATATTGCAATCTTATTTTTTACTGTTTCCTTAATGTCCTAATGGTTTCCTAAATGCCCTACCAGCCCTAACAATCCTACTTGCTGAACCAACAGAAATCTGAGATTTGGAGAACGTATCTCTGATATTTAATGACGTATACTAACCGCGTGTCCTAACCGCGCGCCCTAATTAATCGCGTGCCCTAATCGCGTGTCCTAATCGTACCGTTATATACCTCTCGTTACGCATTTTGGCCAGTGTTGGCCGCCTATTTGCGTAGCCTATATCCATTCTTCGGGCCAGTTGGAACTACCTTTCGTTGCTCCTGGCCATTTTCTGAATCGATCTCTAACCAGAGATCGAAAAAGGAGATACACACTCCTTTTATCGCCGGCTATTTATTATCATAATTTAATTGATTGATCATTTGGTTTCTCTTATATCAGTTAAAACAAAATTTAAGAACAATGTCTACAAACAAATTCTACGATATGGATGAGCTGTACAAAATTAGAATAAGATGCGCGTTAAGAATGAGTTTCACACGTATACATCATACGTATATAATTAATAAAATTACTAGCGTTCTTTGTTCAATAAGTTAAATAAAATCTACAAATTTGGAAAAAAATGTTTTCTATAATGTTCCTTTTTTAATTTAAATTTAAATTTACTTTTGCAATAGATGCAAAGCATATCAAAAGAACTTAAAAGTTATTCAACTTGATCTATTTTAGCTCATCCATTTAAAAGTAACGGATTTATCTACAATCTACAATCTACAAAATCTACATCTACAATCTCTACAAATCCGTTACTCTTTAAAATTAAATAAAAGTTTCTCACTCACCGGCACTGATGCGCAACAGCGGAGTTGTTGGTCTTGAGGCTACGTTGTCTGTAACATACAAATATAAAATTCAAATTATAGCAGCGCCCAAAATAATTAATATTTCAAAAAAATTATTATTTTACATGCCAAATTTTATATCTGATACGTACGATAATAAACAGATACATAAATATGAAAATTTTATAAATTCTAAAAAAACTATTGTTTTTAATAATAAAAACATTTCGGATTTATGTAAAAGTCTTTCTTTCTAATTTTCTCTTGTTTAATAATTGTGCGACTCGTGGCAATGCTGTACTGACACGCGACGCAAAAGACGCGAAAGCCGTCCACGGCACGATGACGGTACCGACGATACGACGAACTGTCCGCGGCACGATGACAGCAACGATGACGCTGATTGTTGGTCCGTCCGTCGCCCAAATCTCCTTTCTTCTCTTGTTCATATCTCTATGTTCTCGTGGCACTCACACTCACTCGCAAAAGCACGATTAATTATGTATGATTAGCCGTATACGATCGCGAGACACTTTGCACGGCACTCCCGACGTCTCCCGATCGCGGAATAATCACATGAGATATTCAGTTTATTATACCGTAAGACAGAGTAACACATACGAAAAGTACGATTGTAGCGAATTATATTTTAATACTTGTCGCGACCGCGTTTAGGAAAGGAATTGACGGAGTGTCTCCCCCACTATTACAATCCTATTCAATAGTCGCCGAATGATAACAAGGCCGTAATACGTAAACAATAGCGTGCTAATGTTTACGGTAAAATTTATCCGAATAATGTTGCGTTTCTTTATGTTATTTCATTTGCAAAAATCTTATTAATCAAATAAAATTACGTTTAAAAATATAAGAAATATAAAAATTTTATAAAAGTTTTTATGTATTCAATAAAACTCCGTTAGACACTATTTTTACTCCGAAGCGTTTAGTGGACAAATGAGGGCAAAGAATCTTGTTTTTCAAGCGAAAATAACTTTATGCGGAACATATATTTATGTGTTTATTTTCAAAAGACTTGTAGTATTAATTATTTTATTGTTTTAATTACTTACATAAATTTGTATATTAATGTGCATCGAAATGCACTACTGCATCTAACTGAATTCATAAATTAAAAAATTAATTAAATAATATAATTTATAATAAATTAATTAATAATAAAAAGTTATATAAATAAAAAGCATAATTTGATATTGCTTAAAATACTTGATACTTTTTGTTCCAAGAATAATAAAAAAGTCAAAGCAATTTATTTTGTAAATATTTTCTACACATTGTATACAAAAATTAGAAAAAGAATTGTTAAGAAAATTAATTTTAAAAAATTTATTTCATTTTATATGCGTATATATACATATATAAAAATACTTCAATAATAATTTATTATCGCTGTCCGTAGTATATATATATATTAGAATGGCAAAACATTAAGCGCAGCTAATAAAACATTAATAAATCCATAATATTTTTCCGCAATTTTGATCCACAAATTATGGATCTAGCATGCACCAACCGGTTGTTTTACCGTGATACCGAAAAATGAATCTGGCCATGTAATTCCGCCGGCTCTAAAATG